TTTGGTCGTGAGATTCAAAATATTGTAACACGAAAATTATTGTTGCACTTCTGAGCATAACTTTCAAATTTAAAAAACCTATGAAAAGAAAATTTGAGACAAATTTTTTTATATATATTGATAGACTCCCCTTTTAAAGCTGAATTGAATGGTGGTAAGTTTTTTTAAAATCTAATGTGTGGATCACATAATATTTCAAAAATTTTAACTTTTGAGTATAGATAATCCGCACTGTGCTGCCAAATTTACATATGATGGTCGAGCATTAGTCTAAATTTAGCAATGATCCTAGCGCTCAAATTTCTCATGAGCATAATAAAGTAAATACATGTTTTAAAAAAGAATAGAACTCTGCAACAAAGAATTTTTTTGAGAAAATCTCTTTATTAAATTAAAACTAAATACATATTCTATCAACTCATAGAGCTATTTTTTTAAAAGATAGGACAGAAAATGACTTCTATACTTTTAAAATTTGCCCAAAATTTAGGAGGTCTTTAGACCGAGCCAACTATACTTATTATTATTATGGATATTTTTAAATGATTAATAAATTAAAAATATATCACACCAGAATAATTAATATATAATAAACTGGATACTGTAAAAAGTCCACCGGCTACTTCTTCTGTAACGATTCAAACAAAAAAAAATTTAATTAATAACAATAATTTTATATTCTATTTATTTTTTTGCCAATATTTATTATATTTTTTGCTTATTATTTTGGTTACAATATGGACAATGAAGGAAAACGTCAAGTTTTACCTACTAATGTTAGACCAACTAACTATAACTTAATTTTGACTCCTGACTTAAAAGAATTCATGTGTAAAGGAACTGAAGTTGTAAAGTGAGTTAGTTATTATTTGATACTATATAATTGATGTATAGAACCGATGATTTAAAAAAAGCTTTTGTAATTTGAAAAATATCAATTATCTATTAAAAAAATTAATAATATTAATAACAATTTCCATTCATTCACTTACATAGTCTTGACATTAACGAAAATACCAATAAAATCATCTTAAATGTTAACGAAATTGAAATTAAATCTGCAACGATTGAAAATTTATCTTTAAAAACTATTTCCAGGTAATTAATTGAATCTTCAATGTCTTTTTATAAAATATTGTAGATCTATAAATATATATTAATATTATATTGATATTATTAGTCAAGAAGCAACTGATATCTTTTATGATAAGGATACTGTAACTTTAACTTTTCAAAAAGAAATTATTGCTGGTACAAAAGCTGCCTTGCATATTGAATTTACTGGTATTTTGAATGACAAAATGACCGGATTTTATCGTTCTAGTTATGTTGATGAATCTGGAAATAAAAGGTTTTTTTTTCAAATAATAGTCATTGAATTATGGAATCTGTATGCTTATTGTTTGATTTTTTTTGAAATTGTTTAGATATTTGGCGACTACCCAATTTCAAGCAACCTATGCTCGTCATGCTTTCCCTTGTTGGGATGAGCCAGCAATCAAGGCTACTTTTGATATAACATTAATTGTTCCTTCAGAATTGACTGCCTTGAGCAATATGAACGTTATTTCAGAAAAGCCTCTTGCTAATGGTAAAAAAGAAGTCGTGTTTGCTAAAACTCCAATAATGAGCACATATGTAGGTAATTTTTTAATTAGGAATACATTATCTATTATAATCATTATAATTAAATGACAGATATATTTAATTTTACAAAGTCCAATGGCTGAAGCTGTCTTCAAACATACAGTAAAACAAAAAGGATTAGAATCAAAATTTATAGTGGATAGTTGTGGAACTAACGTTTGGCGTGTTGGTATATATATATATGTATATATATATATATATACACACACACATTATAATAGTCATTATCATTTATCAATTAACAAATAATTATCATCGATTATTTTAAAAGGTGAACCTCCTAATCCAAAAAGTGTTGAAGTTTGTAGAAAACATAATATAGATATTAATCATAGATCCAGAAAAATCTCAAAAGAAGATTTTGACAAGTTTGATTATGTTTTGTGTATGGATGATATGAATTTACTTGATGCAGAACGTCTTAAACCTGAAGCTTCAAAATTGATTGGTAATGCATTATATATATATATATTTTGGATTGGATTTTGGGGCTGTTGATTTATCAATTAATATTTTATTCTCCCCAGTCAAATTTGGTGAGTATGATCCACAAGGTGAAAAAGTTATTAGAGGTAAACACTACTTTTTTTTAAAAAATGTTTAAATCAATATGGAATGTAACGAAATAATAAATTGCTTCATTATTCTTTTAATATAAATCAGATCCATATTTTGGCGATATTAAAGATTACGAAACAAGTTTTGGCCAGGTTACAAGATGCTCTGAGGGATTCTTGAAAAGTCTAGATTTATGATAAAATATGCTATAATTTAGATTTATTATTTTGTTCTCGCAAATTCTTACAAAATTTATTAAGCTTAAATTCACTTAATAATAATAATAATAATCAATAAGTGGTGATAATATAAAATAATAACAATAATATAATAAAGTTGCAAGTAAATCAAAATTTTATTTTTGGTGGTGAAGCATTTGTTATTGGTAATTTACAAATTTCCAAGAAAGCAAACATAGTATAATGTGCATCATTACCTATTCATATATATATACATATATATATACATACATATATGTAATTCAAAAATTATTTACCTGCATTATGTAAACATAGTTTTCAATTTTCAAATCATCCAACATACCTCCCAAACTAGGATGTTGAGAGACCTCGCACCATCTAATTCAGCAGTATCAAATACTTCTTTAGGTTTAATAACCTCGTCAATTTTAATTTTCATGCGTTCTAAAATATTTCTTCCCCATTTCAATATCATGTCCAATCAAAATTACATCATTGAATTCTTTGTTTTCTCGCAAAAATTCTTTTTGTGTAGCATCTTTAGTAAATTCTAATGCCATATTCTCGGAACTTTCCCGTATACTATCACCAAAAATAAAGCGATCTTTCATATCTGCCACATACTTGTTATTTCTAAGATGCATATAGCATTGCGTGAAACCATTTTACAACCATAGATGGAAAGGCAAGATACAATTATTGCTCCAAGTAAAAATTTTTTATAATATTTATACTATATAAATAAATATAAAATAAAAAATATTTTTGTAAATAAAATTATAAAATATACATTAAAATAAAGATTTTTCATTTATTATATATAGTGTATTTGATTCAAATCACGGATTCAAATTTATTATTATTATAGATTCGAACCAGTCAGTTTGAATCAAATAAAATCAGTTCGAATCGAATCAAATATTAATTGGTTCGAATTTCATTGATTCGTTCGGAGCCTTAATTCTCTATTAAAACTAATATTAAATCTATTAAAGCTATTGAATATAAAGCTATTGAATATATTAAGTTATTAAGCTATTAAGCTATTAAATTATTAAATTATTAAATTAAATAATAAATAAATATTAAATAAATGAACAAGTAAATAGTTTAAGTAAAAATACCTGAAATTATAAACAATTTCGGAAAAATCTATGCAGCTTTACTATTGTAAACTTAGAAAATCTGCTTCTTAATCATCTCCATGACCAAACCTGATGGACTTGAAGTGAAAGAACTAACAATATAACAAGCATACAAAGAATATATACATATGCAAGGTTTCACGTCATATTTTTTAGTAGGATTTTCATGTCGCGTTATTAAAGTTTTTAAAGTACTTTTTCAATTAAATACATGGGTCTTGGACACTTTGCCAACACCCACTTTACCGACAAGACACTTTACCGACAGGACACTTTACTGACAATTAAAGTCGAACTTGACGTAGAAATGGTCTTGCGAGGAACACCACGACTCCTACAGAAACCACAAGATCGTAATCGTGAAATATGGATTTAAACAGTATTAAATGACCGTAACATTAGATCAACTATAAAGTTTCTTCGGGGCATCGCCCATAATATTTCGTTTTAAAATTTTTTTTTGTTATTTTTTTAAAAATTTTTTTGTGTATTAAAATAATAAATACGTGTAAATTTAATAAAAAAAAATAACATGAATATGCAATTTTGATCAATTTCGTCAGACAAAAAAAATATATTACACATGTGTCTATATTGTATTTTTATGAACTGGTTTTTGATGCAAAGTAAGGATAACAAGTAGTTTTATTAGTTAATTAACGGTTGATTTAACTTGTTGTAAAAAACCAAACTTTTAACTAGTTATCCAGGTCTTCACACAGTCCTTGGCAAATTGTTAACACAATACTTGTCAGTAAAGTGTCCTGTCGGTAAAGTGTCCGGGTTCTTATTATAAACCCATCACAATTTTCTAAACATATCAATGATAGTAATATAATAATGTATAGTATTTTTTTTGCAAATCTGTTACAATTTAATTTTTAATAATGCATTTAGTTATAAATTTTAATTTTAGCAATAAAAATAATAATCAATTAATGATTATTCCAAATATTTGTTTTCTTTTAACCATTGTTTGACATCGTCAGCATCACGATTTACCCAAGCAGCATTGATTCTAATACTTTCCAAACTTTGCTGCAAAGGTCTAGCAAAATTTTTGCAATCTTTATCTTTGAAAAATGATTCGATATCCTTTATATCTTCTTCAGATGCAAAATATGAGGTACAAACTTTTATGACATTTCCAAAGAGAACAAATGATTTTGCATATCTTTGATGAATCTAAAAAAAAAAAATAACAGATATAAATATAAATGTAAAAATAAATATAAAATAAATGATAATAAATGATAGCAATACCAAGTCCCAATTCTTTTTAAAGAATTCCCATAACGCCCTTCGTGATTTACGATTTGCTCGCAATCTAAATTGATAAAACATTAAAATTTAAGAAAAATTATATATATAAAAAAAACTAAATTAAAAATTAAAAAAAATCCTAACCCTGAAAACGAATGAACGATATCTTGTTCTTTAACTTCATCAGAAATAGCAAAGTCCAAGGCACGTTGAATCAATTCGGGTTGCCCTGCATGTCCAAGACTCACCAAAACGAGAATTTTTTGATCTGGGATTGTTGTTTTACGATAAATGTCAATTATGGCATTAAACTCTTCTTCGCCACCACCATATTTCAATACAATACTAAAAACTGCTCCACGTATATTTGGATGTATGGCTGATTCATCGTTATGTTTAGTCAATAAATCAAATCTTCGACGAGCTTCTTTAACAATTCTTTTTAAGAAATGGACATGTCCATTTATGTAAGTCTTTCTATTTTTTTTTTTTTTTTTTTTTGACAAGAAATATATATATCTTTGTATTTATATTTATAAACAACGTAAATTAACTTACTCCGGACAACCTGACTTGCCAGCATATTCAATTATAAAAGTACGAAACATAGTTGTTAAATAATCTTCATCTTCAGAAAATTCCCAAGTTACTGTATTAACTAATTTTGATATTAATTGACGTCTAAATGACAATAAAGCCTCATAAATCGAATCAGGTTGTTCGAACCAAGCATGAAGCAAATTCCAAATTCGAGTACTAATTTCACACCATACACTAAATATTATTAAATAAATAAAGTTTAAATTTTTAAATTTTTAAATTTTTAAAATAGTAAAATAAAATAATTAATAAATGAAATCTTATACGAACATGTATTTATCTTCATTATCAAAGCCTTTCAAGAAGCTTAACAAACTGCTTGTTTTAATGTATCCGCTCATTGACAAGGCACCATTATCAGCTATCAATCCAATTCGATCACTGGTGCTAAGTAACCCGTTTTCAACAGCTTCACCCAATTTTTTTAAACGTTCAGGTGTATATGCAACACGATATACACCGGTTTCATTAGCATTTAATTGTAAAAATTCGGACATTGCTGATGGTAGGTCTATTGTAGCCTCTTTGGATGTAAGAATCTTTGCTCTAAGATCAATATTTCCGGTAGAACCAAGATCAATACCAAGAGGTACCCACCAAATAGTAGTGTCATCTTCTGATGAAGCAACTCCTGTTGAAAGAAACCGAGTTTGACGTATATGTATTTTATTTGGAAGTGGTTCATCAACAAACAAAACCGGATACTTTTTTAGATTTTGAAAAAAAAAATTTTTTAATAAAAATTAAATTTTCTGCATAAGCACAAAATATTCTATTTGATTCAAATGAAAAAAAATTTTCTACATACACCAACTACTCTAGTCCATCCAGTCATGAATTTACCAACATCAATACCACTTTCTTCTGATAATGCTTTCCACAAATCATCAGTACTTGCATTACCGTATTCATGACTTTTCAAATATTTTCTAACTCCAGACAAGAAAATGTTTTCGCCTAAATGATCACTTAACATACGAATTACAGAGGCGCCTTTGTTATAACTGATTGCGTCAAATATTTGATGAATTTCACTAAATCAATGTAATTTACAGAGAAAAAAATAAATATTTTATTTAAATAAAATGACTTGAATTATTTATTTTTATGTATATATGTGTTACCTAGGATTATTAACAGGAACTTCAATAGGATGTGAAGATTTTAAAGAATCAAGCTGAAGACCACTTTGAAATCTTTCAGTTACAAATCTATTAGAAATAAATTTAATAAATTTAATTATAAATATATGAAAACAATAGATATAAGATATACAGGGAGAATAATTTACTGTGTCCAAATATCCCAATCAGGAAAGACTTTATCAATAGCAAAATATCCAACCCAAGTAGCAAATCCTTCATTAAGCCAAAGATGATCCCACCTAAAATTATTACCAATTCATACCAAGTTTTAGAATATATTATTATTATAAAAAAAAAAACTAAATAAATTTTAGCTACCATTCCATGGTTACAAGATTTCCGAACCACTTAAAATATTATATAAGATACACGGTATTGATAAAAATAAATAATTTGTAGAAGGGACAATAAATGTATACATCGTTGATTTACATGATAAAGAACTTTTTACCTGATGAGCTAATTCGTGAGAAACTGTATAACTAATTCGTCGTTTAAATTTTACATTAGATTTTTTTGGATCAAACAATATAGCAGTAGTACGGTATGTAATCAAACCCCAATTCTCCATAGCACCTAGAAAGCAGGAAATTTAATAATTTTAATAATGTTTTAAATAAGTATTTAATGAATTAATTAATCAGAACCTTACCAGCTTCAAAATCAGGAATAGCAACCATATCCAACTTTGGTAATGGATATGGGATATCAAACACTATACAAGTAATTAAATAAAAAGATGGTTATTAAGTAAAGATGATAATTGGGGTTTTTAGTGAGAAAAATATAAGCATATAAATATATATACCTCCAGCAAAATATTCTAAAACATCAACTGCAACATTTAATGCAAATTCACCATTTTTTTCATTGCCTCGAGTAGCATAAATTCTGATCTGAACAGGGTTTCCAGCATTCTTTACTCCATTAGTTTTTTTCTCGATATAAGCGAGATCGCCAACAATGAATGCAAGCAACTTTATATGAAAAATAACAATTATTATCAATATTAAAAATATTTTAATGATCAATTTCTATAAATAATTACATACATATGTGCTCATTATTGGAGTTTTAGCAAACACGACTTCTTTTTTACCATTAGCAAGAGGCTTTTCTGAAATAACGTTCATATTGCTCAAGGCAGTCAATTCTGAAGGAACAATTAATGTTATATCAAAAGTAGCCTTGATTGCTGGCTCATCCCAACAAGGGAAAGCATGACGAGCATAGGTTGCTTGAAATTGGGTAGTCGCCAAATATCTAAACAATTTCAAAAAAAATCAAACAATAAGCATACAGATTCCATAATTCAATGACTATTATTTGAAAAAAAAACCTTTTATTTCCAGATTCATCAACATAACTAGAACGATAAAATCCGGTCATTTTGTCATTCAAAATACCAGTAAATTCAATATGCAAGGCAGCTTTTGTACCAGCAATAATTTCTTTTTGAAAAGTTAAAGTTACAGTATCCTTATCATAAAAGATATCAGTTGCTTCTTGACTAATAATATCAATATAATATTAATATATATTTATAGATCTACAATATTTTATAAAAAGACATTGAAGATTCAATTAATTACCTGGAAATAGTTTTTAAAGATAAATTTTCAATCGTTGCAGATTTAATTTCAATTTCGTTAACATTTAAGATGATTTTATTGGTATTTTCGTTAATGTCAAGACTATGTAAGTGAATGAATGGAAATTGTTATTAATATTATTAATTTTTTTAATAGATAATTGATATTTTTCAAATTACAAAAGCTTTTTTTAAATCATCGGTTCTATACATCAATTATATAGTATCAAATAATAACTAACTCACTTTACAACTTCAGTTCCTTTACACATGAATTCTTTTAAGTCAGGAGTCAAAATTAAGTTATAGTTAGTTGGTCTAACATTAGTAGGTAAAACTTGACGTTTTCCTTCATTGTCCATATTGTAACCAAAATAATAAGCAAAAAATATAATAAATATTGGCAAAAAAATAAATAGAATATAAAATTATTGTTATTAATTAAATTTTTTTTTGTTTGAATCGTTACAGAAGAAGTAGCCGGTGGACTTTTTACAGTATCCAGTTTATTATATATTAATTATTCTGGTGTGATATATTTTTAATTTATTAATCATTTAAAAATATCCATAATAATAATAAGTATAGTTGGCTCGGTCTAAAGACCTCCTAAATTTTGGGCAAATTTTAAAAGTATAGAAGTCATTTTCTGTCCTATCTTTTAAAAAAATAGCTCTATTAGTTGATAGAATATGTATTTAGTTTAGTGTAATAAAAAGATTTTATCAAAAAAATTATTTGTTGTATATAGAGTTCTATTCTTTTTTAAAACATGTACTTTACTATGCTCATGAAAAATTTGAGCGCTAGGATCATTTCTAAATTTAGACTAATGCTCAATCATCATATCTAAATTTGGCAGTAAGAAAATAATTTTTTAACCAAAATCACGTGAAACCCTTTTTAAAAAATTTTATTGCATTTTTGAAACACGAAGTCGCAATTTTTTGAAATTTGGATGCGTGGCACAGCAATGGGAAGTCTTTAGACCGAGCCAACCATAGCAAAAACCGGGTGATTGGCATATATAAATTTGTTACCAATTAAATTGGGAGAGTGCGTTTTAATTGGTGATAACAATTATTTTTGTATTTGTGTGGATCAAGAATGAATAGGTTATCAACGAATTGATTTTGGATTAGAGAATAATTTTGTTTAAAAAAGATGAAAGTTTTAAATAAAATAAAATATTTATTATTTTGTTTATTTAGTTTTTCTTAGTTGAAACTAATTAACTTGTAGAAAGTTATTCTTAGTCAAAACTAATTAACTCATTAGAAAATTATTTTAGGAATCTAATGTTTATTAATCAAATTGTTAGTAATAATTAATTTCCAATTAATTAATAATGGAATTTTTATTCACCTTTATTAACCAAGAAAGCCAAAATCTAATGAACTGTCATCAATTGTATAACTTTTAAAGCATTTTGATCTAGCAATCTCTTCATTTAATATTCTACTTGTATGGTATGCATCTGGATGTGATTTATGTATTTGTTGCAAATCATCACTATTAACAGCACCAGCACCACTGCTGCTACAATCATTATCATGAATCTCCCTATGTTTATCTTCGGCAAAGTCCCGAAGTTCTCTACTAGTTGGTCTTTTTGATGGATCCACATCCCAACACCTCTGCATCATTTGTGCATAATCTTCAGGCATTCCTGGTAATATTGATGGTCGTAAACCTTCTTCACATATATCAAAAATTAAACAATGATCATGAGCTCTATCATCAAATGGTGGATGACCTG